GTCAAAGCACACTTTGGACAAAAGGCAAAGAATGTACATTTCTCAGTAGTGAAAAACATGTTGATTTTTTTATCTTTATTTTTAATCTTCAATTTTTTGCATAAAAACAAAATTTTAGTAAAAAGAAAAACCATGGCAAGAAACAAATGTTGTTCAGCTCCTGGTAAATAGATCTATGTCCTATGGTTTTACAGAGACTGCATGTATGGTAACAGTGACACTACTGATTATATTGCATTTAGATATACGGTAATCATAAAACCAGTAATGAAGATGAAACACTATGGGATATTATATTATTGTACATAGTCAGTAGTGTAGTTTCAGTATTATTAGACTTTAATCGTTTTCATAGAATTTAACAGTTATACTTTGGAGATGTACTTTCTATTATTGCAATTGCTGAATATGCCATATGGTTTTGTGAACCATGGGTATAGTATAGATCTAGATCTATATATATATATGCACCGTGTAAATATACCTAGATTGATAAATCAATTTGCATAGTTTCCTGATACCAGCCCATGCACTGATGTAGTCTAGCATAGCCAGACCCACCCCGTGCCTTCGGGAGGTATGGAGGGCGAGTCTGGTTATGCAAGACTGACTATAGCACTGAAGTCATTGTTTATGTATAACAGAGAAAATAATAAAGTCAAAATAACAAAGAAGTGACTATAACTGCAAAAGCCATACTCTACATATAGTCTTTCTTTAATACAATAACACGCTAAAAAAGGCAAGTTGGTAACAAACAATATACCCTGAACTGAGTGATAATAAGTGCAAATGCTTTACATAACTTGTAGTCAGTTTCATAGGCTATATAAAGGAGTCAATGTAACTAATAAAGCATGCAATTAAGTTTATTCTAAGCATGTCAAGTAATGGAACCTGTCTATGATTATCCTACAGTGCCTCAACCAAGAGTACAAGCAAGTGAGCAAGCACCAGAATATATGGAGATAGCTCCTGAGCCATCAACATCTGGCAAGGTATCAAAGAAATGTGAAGAGTTGCAAAATAATATAAAATGGGCCCCATTCATTGTTCTAATTGTCATACAATGTGCAACAGTGCTACTACTGTTGACAGTTCTTTTGCTTATTGCTACAAAATATACAATCAACAAGAATAGTTCCAGTAATGATGCAGAAATTTATGTCGCTCAACAACTAAATGCCCATTTTGCTCAAAACAGAAGCTCTAAAAATCTAATTCAAAAAATGAGAGAAAATACAAAAAAGGTCAGGAATATATCTGATTCAGAATTTCTCTCTAGCCTCAATAGTACGAGTACTTCTACTGCTGATACAATCAATAATGTACTAGCAATAGTAAAGGAACTCCTACTGATATACAATCAATCATCCGGCCCTAATATTTCTTGCCAAGATATAAAGAATATGCAACCCAATAATCCATCAGGCTATTATATTATCAATGGAACAGAAATCTACTGTCACATGGGACAATTGTGTGGCTCAGATACATGGGCAAGACTAGCATACCTCAATATGAATGACTCAATGGAGAAATGCCCTTCTGGGTTTAAACTGTGGCAGTCAGGAGCAGTCAGAGCCTGTGGCAGACCAGTAACAGATGATGGTAGCTGTGTTTCAGTTAAGTTTTCATCTAATGGTATTAGGTATTCACAAATATGTGGTAGAGTAGTGGGGTATCAATATGCAACAACAGATGGACTGAGATCATTAGAAGTAAGTCCTAACCGGTATAACATAAACAATTCCTATGTTGATGGTGTCAGTATCACTCGGGGATCATCTCGTCAACATGTATGGACCTTTGCATCTGGATCCTCTGACACTGAATTTGACAGAGAATCTAGAGATACATGTCTTTGCAGTGGCTCCTTCCCTCTTCAAACATTCATTGGTAGTCATTATTTTTGTGAATCAGGTAATCATAGAAGTTCTGAAGATGTTAGATCTAGTCTCCACACATCTGATCCACTCTGGGATGGTAAAGGTTGTGGGTCTAACGAAGGTCAATGCTGTTCGGCTTCTGGTCTTCCATGGTTTCACAGAGACTATGGTAACAGCACCACTACTGATTATATTGAGCTGAGAGTGTGCTGTAATCAAGGAACTAGAAATGAAGATGTTCCTGTTGAATTTTATGAAATATATGTTAAGTAGTAATAATCTTGTACACGTTTGTCTGTAGGTTTAGCATATGATTTTAGACTGTATTATTGTTTTCATAGACTTTTAGTTAAAAGAAATTACAATTTGGAAAAACTGTAGTACTGGGACTTTTGTCTGATTTCTGAGTCTGTAGTTATAGTATTTTAGACTGTAATTGTTTTATAAACTTTTTTGGTTTTCCATCATGTGGTTTCATAGAATCTATCACCACAACAAATTATTTCAATCTAAAATGTTGTAAAAGTATTTTGATTGCCATGAGACAGCATGCCGTAAATCAGTTATCATGCAGGGCAGAACTACATAACATCATGCAAATGTCTTATTATAAACTATGATGGCACAATTAACATCATTACAATAAGAAATGCATAACCACAAAAGCCATACTATCTACTGTGAGACTTTACTATTAAATGTGTAAAGTATAACTACAATTGTTACAATAACAAACAAAATGTGATAATAAGTGCGAAAGCTTTACTTTATTGTAAGTTTTACTGCTTTAAGTGATAAAAACAACATTGTTTGTAAAAAGCATGACAGTGAGATGGGAAAATAAATGGGTTTGGTCATAATCACAGTAATTCTTTAAGTGCTGTATATAAAGGACAGAACCATCTTCAGCTACGTACAATTCATAGTCTGTTGCTGACAATGAATAATATAAATTATGAAGCTCAAGGCCCCCCAGATGTTTCTAGGCCACATTCAAATGAGGATAATCACTATTATGATTTGTTGGATCACAGTCAACGATCTGCTACAAAAGAGGCAAATCTACAAGTCAAATATCAACAGAAACCAATCCCAATCATATTGGTAATAGCACTACTGTGCCTCATAGCAGCAACAGTAGTTGCTTTGCTAGGCATGAAAGGATACTCACTATATACAAGCAAAAGCAGTTTAAAGTTCGCCCAAACGATGGAGACCGTAACACAAAATCTCTCACAAATGCTAAGTCACTATGAATCAAGAGGCAGTAATAACAGTGCAACATGTCGGCAAGTTCTCGGAATATCAAAGAAATCAATTAAGAAGCTGATTAACATCACTAACACACTCTCTGAACATGCTAATAGTAGTGCCTCTATTGCTACAATAGTTGATGATATACTGCTGGTGGTAAAAGAGCTGCTGGATGTAGAATACAAATCTTATCCTCCTACTTCATGCAAAGAAGCTAAGGAGAGGAATCCCAGGAGTCAATCAGGTGAATATTTGCTAAGGTCAGCTAATGGTATAAGCGCTATCAGAGCTTATTGCTATATGGAGGAGCTATGTGGTTCTGGAGGAGGATGGACAAGAATAGCATACCTGAATATGACTGATCCTACACAGAGCTGTCCTTCTGGGTTTAGACTGTACCAGTCAGGAGGAGTTAGGACTTGTGGTAGGCCAGAAAGTAAAAATGGTACCTGCGTGTCGATTGAATTCCCATCTAATGGTATTAGGTATTCTCAAATATGTGGTAGAGTAGTGGGGTATCAGTTTGCAACAACAAATGGTTTTAATATAAAATATAACACCTCTACTTATGTTGACGGTGTCAGTATTACTAGAGGGTCTTCTTATCAACATGTATGGAGTTTTGCAGCTGGATTATTAGGCTATTATCGGGAACAAAAATTGAGGAGTATTTGCCCTTGCAGCAATGGGAGTATCAACGAAATCCCTTCATTTGTTGGAAGTCATTATTTTTGTGAATCAGGGAGAAATATCAAAGTAAATACTTCCTCTGATGATAGGCTCTACACATCTGATCCACTCTGGGATGGTCAAGGTTGTGGGCCTAATGAAGTTCTTTGTTGTTCAGCTCCTGGTATCCCATGGTTTCACAGAGACTATGATAACAATACCACTACTGATTATATTGAGCTGAGGGTGTGTTGTAATCAAGGAACTGGTAATGAAGATGTTCCAGTTGAATTATATGAGATGTATGTTAAGTAGACACTATAATTATTGTTAGAGACAGAACTTTGATAAAATTTTGTGTGTAATTTTAACTTTTAACTTCAATATTTTTGACATTGTTTGCTGTAGTAGATTAGTTAGAAATAGAATTTTAAATATTAATTGTTTTAAATCTAAAAACACCATACATTAACATAGACTAGATCACAGTAGAGCAAAACAAACATGCAAATATCACAGTCTAACATAATTTAGATCTATATGCATGGGTGGCTGCAGGTAAGGCAATACTTAACTTATTAAAACAAGCAAAAAGCAATATCTGCCCAAATGGAAATTTAATTGCCCACCCATAAATTAAACAAGTTATCGCTAACACGCCTGTTGCCCAACTATTATCTGCTAATTAAATTTTACATTTTACTAATGAATTAGAACAGCCATGGCTAGTAATCAATAAACAATCTAAATAGGTAGTTTGAAATTTTTAAGAACATATAGGACAAAGTTCGAACTGAGTATACTGAACCAACTCTGATCAAAACAGGATTTTTATAAACTTCCTGATGCTCTCATGTATTGTCCAAAATTGAATAAAAGTTGCTCCAAAATTTTATCAAAATACTTGCTACTAGACATAAAGGAGGCTAATTCATAAAGGAGCCCAATTATATTTTTTACTACCACTCTATGTCCAACTACTTCATATTTTGTAGGCGAGGTTATAATAATGGTAGACAAGTTGTGAGTACTAAAATAATTGCTCTGCAAGTTGCCAAAGTAAGCTGAAGCCATAATATTGATACGCAGATATTCTAAATTTGATTGTGAGTAGAATCAAGAGTAGATAAGACCCAAATAATAATGATATGTCTCATCTATAGATCTATGATAATAAAAGTAATTTTGATATCGCCAAGTTAAGTTTATAAACACTATTACAATTTTTTGAAAAATCAGCACAACTTCTGTTCCTATCCACATCCAGTTAACAAGTAATGTATAAGAGCTCCTATGCTTATACAAAGTGGCCTCACTGATGTTTTACTAATTCCAATGATTAGCACAGAGCCACATAGCTGAATGTGAACTTGCTGGAATCTTTCTTTCTTATCTATCATTAAAAATACCTTAATTTGAACAGGACTGACATTCACATACCTGACTATCAGCAATGCTAGGATTTAAGATTGGTCCAACCAATGAGAGACACACTTCAACGTAAGTGATCAACATAAGTATATCTATCCAATAGGAAGTCACACTGTCCTCTTCAGCAATTTGAAATGATATTGTATGCATCTGTAGTTTATTAGCAATGGAGGCACCTGTATGGGATATCTTAAAATGACATACCGTAATTGATGGTATGTAACTTACTGCTGAATGAAGCAGAGGAATCAGCTACATCCACACAGCTATGATAGGGGGATTAGTAACTAACTACACACTTCATTTGTTGAAAGGTTCAATAATAAGAAGGTAGATACCCCTGATATTCACTACAAGAAGAGAAGACAAAAGAATTAGAGAAGACGACATAGCCAAGAGCTAATAATTGTTTATGATCTAATTCCATACTAATGACTAATTATAGTTACTCTTATTATGGGCCAAAGTCCCTGTACTACATGTATTATTAGTACAGAGTCCTTGGGCAAATTTTGTCAAAAATAATTAGAAGAGAATTTTCTATTTTTACATTTTTTCTAATACATTACATATACTTGTACTTAAGTTGTGTAGCAAGTTTAAGCTCATTCCGATATAAATTCAATTTTTAATGAATTTTTGAAGTTTGAAGTTAGAACAAGATACCCTATCCTGTTTAGTCATGGCCTTTGCTGGGAAAAGACAAAAAATCAACAACAAGGACAACAGATTGTCCAAACGAAAGAAACACACTATACAGTACTTTCAATGTAATAATTTCTCTATACTGTACATCTTACATTAACATTCATGTGCATGTGTGTCCGTGGTAGTTTGCAACCTCATAAACGATTGAAGCACCATTCCATTGGGTGTGGTTGGTGTGGAGTGTTTGTAACCGCAGCAATGTTTATTGCAGAAAAGATAATGAAGATCATACTGACTGTTCTTTTGTGTTTCATTTATCATGGTTAGTTTAGTTATTGTTATAATCATGATTACTAGTTGTTTCTGTATAGCTGGAGTTGAAGGAAAAGTTACTATTACGTCACTTGGTTGTGAGTCAGCAAATGGTCTCTCATCCCATTTAACTGTAGGAAGGGAATACACTATGTATTGTTCAATAACTAGTCCTAACAATCGACCTGTTATTGTTTGGATGATTGCACCTAATTCTTCTATTACAGTTATTAGAAACACTGTAGCTTCTGTTGACAGTTTTACTGCTAGACTTGTCAAATCAGATGGGAATTCAATCATAGCAAGCCTAACATTTACTGCCACTGCCTCTCTTGATCAGAAGATAATAGCCTGCCAGGATAGTCCTATTGGAGTCTCATTGATCAGAGATGAATGCCGTTTACAAATAGGAAACTGTAAGTATGACTGAGTATTTTTATGCATAATATATCACTATCTTCTAGTTGGATTTACTTTAAAATCAACTAGATCTAGATCTACCACATCAAATAGAGCTGGCCCTAATCACACTCTACCAGTCACATCAATTGGAGCTAAATCTACTTCAACTGTACTAACCACATCAACTAGAGCTAGATCTACTTCAACTGTATTAACCACATCAACTAGAGCTGGATCTACTTCAACTGTATTGGTCATATCAACTAGAGCTGGATCTACTTCAAATGTACCTGTTACATCAACTAGAGCTTCAACTGCTTCATTTCAACCTAGACCTACTTTGGCTACAACAACCTTATCTAGAGTCTGGTCTACAGTTAGTTCAACTTCAAAAACAACTTCATTAACACCAGTTACTACAAATACTGTTTCACCAACATCCGGTAAAATTAATTGTTTTCTGTATAGCTTTGAGTTCTGTATAATTATTAAATACAGGTAAAAGAATTGTCAACGTTATCGTAATTCCCGTGGTAGCTGTTACTGTTGTCATTGCAATAATCACTGGTATTTGTCTCCTGTCAATATGTGTCTGTAAAAAGAGGCTATTTAGAAGTAAAATATTAATAATGTACTACAATTAATGTTAATTTTATGCATAGAATATGGTAATTCACATGATCACAGTAACCCTGCTTCTCATATTCAATCAACTAATGAAGACTTCAGTGTTCCACCTCCTCCAGTATATGATATCATAACAATGGAGCCTAAAATGCCCTCTCAATCACCAGATCTTCAAAGTGAAGCAGCTCAGTCTACTACCTTGATGACATTAAATAATATTATTTATGGTGTTAACTAATAATACAGACAACTGCCTACTAGAGGCATAATAGGACTTTTCTAGCTATAGTAATTAGATTATATATCTTATATATGTAGTTGATATGTTTGTTGCTTTTTACCATATAAGTGAATGAATCATGCACAATTCTATTGGGTGTGGTTTTAAAGCATAGCACAATTAGTTTACAGCAAAACATAATGAAGATCAGACTGACAGCTCTTTTTTATCTTACCTTCATCTACTTAGGTTAGTTTTAGTTTTGTAATTCTTCTTAATATTAATTGTTTGCTGTATACATGTATTAGATGAAGTGGAAGGAACAGCTACTATTATGTCACTTGGTTGTGAGTCTACAAATAGTCTCTCATCACATTTAACTGTAGGAAGGGAGTACACTATGTATTGTTCAATAACTGGACCTAATAATCCACCTGTTGTAGCTTGGATAATTGCACCTAATTATTCTATTACAATTGTTAATAAAAACACTGTAGCTTCTGTTGGTGGTTTTACTGCTAGAGTTGTCAATTCAGATGGGAATTCAATCACATCAAGCCTAACATTCACTGCCACTGCCTCTCTTGATCAGAAGGTTATTGTCTGCCAGGATAGTCCTATTGGAGTTTCATTGATCCGAGATGAATGCCGTATACAAATAGGAAACCGTAAGTACTATTGAGTGGTTTATGTGCATAATAATTATTATGATTATAATATGATATATATCTTTTGCTTGTATAGCTGGATCTAGTTTTAGATCTAAATCTATCACATCAACTAAAGCTGAATCTACTCCGACTGTACCTGCCCAATCAACTGAAGCTAGATCTAGTAGTAATACCAAATCAACTCAAGCTAGATCTACTTCAACTATATCAACCACATCAACTCAAGCTGGATCTACTTCAATTGTATCTAAAACTGGGTCTACTTCAACTGTATCAACTTCTTCATTTGGTCCTAGACCTACTTTGGCTACAACTACTCTACCTACAGTAATTTGGTCTACAGTTAGTTCAACTCCACAAACAACTTTATTAACACCAGTTGCTACAAATACTGCTTCACCAGTTTCGCCAACATCCGGTAAAATTAACTGTTTTCTGTATAGCTTTGAGTTCTGTATATTAACTACAGGTAAAAGAATTGTCAACATTATCGTAATTCCCGTGGTAGCTGTTACTGTTGTCAATGCAATAATAACCGGTATTTGTCTCCTGTCAATATGCATCTGTAAAAAGAGGCCATTTCGAAGTAAATATTAATAATGTACTACAATTAATGTTAATTTTATGCATAGAAAATGGTAATTCACATGATCACAGTAATCCTATTTCTCATATTGAATTAACAAATCAAGACATTAGTATTCCACCGCCCCCAGTATACGACTACATAACAGTAGAACCTAATGTACTCACTCAACCTTCAGATCTCCACAATCAATCAACTAATGAAAGCATCAGTGTTCTACCGCTTCCAGGATATGATAACATAACAATAGAGCCTAAAGTGCCTACTCAATCACCAGGTCTCCAATATGAAGAACCACAGCCACTATCATAATGACATTAAATAATCATAATGACATTAAATAATATTGTATTTGGTATGAACTGACAATACAGACAAATGCCTACTAGAGGCATAGTACTTGGCATAGGACTTGTCTAGCTATAGTCATTAGATTATGTATCTTCGTGTAGTTGATATGTTTGTTGCTATAGACCATATAAGTGAATGAGTTCTATTGGGTGTGGTTTTAAAGCATAGCACAATTAGTTCACAGCAACAAAAGATAATGAAGATCAGACTGACAGCTCTTTTTTATCTTGCCTTCATCTATTTAGGTTAGTTCAGTTACTGTGTTAATAAAATTATTAGTGTATAAAAGGAGTGGAAGGAAAAGTTACTATTACATCACTTGGTTGCGAGTCTCCAAATGGCCTCTCATCACATTTAACTGTAGGAAGGGAGTACACTATGTATTGTTCAACAGATAGCTCATCCCTTATTGTTTGGATATGTCATCAGCTCAATCTAGCTTTTCCATTTACTGAAAATAGTCTTGGTTCCTCCTGGGAATATGGTGGCTTCTATGCTAAAGCTGTAAGGTCTGATGGGAATTCAATCACAGCAAGCTTGACATTTACTGCCAATGCTTCTCTTGATCAGAAGGTAATAACCTGTCAGGGTGGATTTGGAAATTCATTTGTCGAAGATGAGTGCCGTATACAAATAGAGAAATGTAAGTATAGTTCATCCAAGTTGATGATCCTTATCTAACATATCTAGCTAGAATTTTTTGTAGCTTAACTTTTTCAATCTGCATAAAACTAACAAAATTTCTTTTGTGGCTTTAATTTTTGTAAGTACATCTTGACCTGCCATCATTTAATAGAGGACTATAATTTTAATCATTAATTTTTGTATTTTAAAATCTGTAAAAATATTAGCAGCAATATTGGGCCTGTGATTGGGCCACAAAATTAGCTACATGTATTGTATCTTTCAGCTGAATCAACTTCAACTAAATCTACCACAACAACTAGAGATGTATCTACTTCGACTGTACCTATATCAACTAGAGTTGGATCTGCTTCAGCTATCTCTACATCAAGTAGATCAATTGTACCTGCAGTATCAAATGGACCTGGAGATGGACCTACTTTTACAGCTTCAGTTTCAATCCAAGATAGATCTGTAACTACTTTACCTACAGTTTGGTCTACAATTTATTCGCTTTCACAAACAGTGTCGTTAACACCAACTGCTACAAGTACTGTTTCAACAACACCTAGCTCTGGTAAGATTTCATTGTTTGCTGTTTATAATTGAGTTTTATCACTACAGGCAAAATAACTTCTTTAGTACTAACTATTGTGGTTGCTGTCATTGTTGTCATGTTAATAATTGCTACTTGTCTAATAACATCATGTGTCTGTGGGAAGCTGATAATGTCTAAAAGTAAATTCCCTTTACAATGCCCATGCATTTTCCTTTTCATCAATATTTAATGTATAGAATACAGTGACTCTAATAAAGATGCTTCTAGTGATCAACCTCAAGCAACCATACCGATGCATTCAACTGATAATGTTATAATGAGTGACAACGCTGCTTATGGTCAAGTATCAGGTCTCCACAATGAAGTACCTCAATCCACTAACATAATGACATCAAATAATGTTGCTTATGGCACTAGTATGACTGCGTATTATGATTACATTTAATGTACCGTATAGTACTTGTGTAGATCTAAATCTAGAATGTTAAATTCAAAAAATGTTGCTATTGGTTAGTCAACCAGTTATCACATGTTTGATTTTATATGACTACTTTATCAAGCGTGATTGGAATTAGGCAATTATATGTTTACATGCATAGCACTGTTAGCTAGAATAATTAATATTCCATATTTAGCTAGAGAGAAAGAGAACGCTTGTGCATGTACAAGGAGATTTGAAAGTACTAAAGGTGCATGTTAATTGATACACATGACTGGTCAGCAGTATAGGATGGTTGTGGCGCAGTTAGGGGTGGGTAACAGATGAACTGGAGTTGAAGGAACAGCCACTATTGCATCACTTGGTTGTGAGTCTCTCGATCAACACATTTAACTGTAGGAAGGGAATACACCAGTAACTGGATCTAATGAGCCACTTTGTGTTGTTTCAATAATCGTGCAAATTACTGTGAAGAAAATGGTGGGCAACTTTTAGGTAGATTTTTTGGACAAATGAAAAATCATTACAATAAACATTGTAACTATAGGGCCACTTTATACTGTACACAACACTTGTTCTACTTCGTGAAATTAGCTGGCTGGAACCAGAACACAAAAACATTTGTAGCTAATAATAATATTGAAATATAGGTATCATTATCTTGTAGATGCTACAGCTGTGGAAAAGAATTGTACATGTACGTGTATCTATAACCAGGCAGGGATATACAACATGGTTGTTTAAAAACACTACATAAGGAAGAGATAGGGTACAGTTCAGAGTAGGAGAGGGCAAAAGAAATATTGGCCAAGCATACACCCAATCCTTTTGGTACAACTTCAAAGATGTCCAACTTGCAACTCTTTCATTTTCCCACTACTTTCTACTTTTAATTTTTTCCCATAATTTTCATACATTAACTTGTTTTTGACCCCAGCATAAAATTCTATTTTCTGCTAGATCCTGCTGATACAATGTAGGAAAAATTAAAAGAAGCTTTCATTGGAGAAATTATAGATTTTCTGGAGCCTATTATCTGTGCTACTTGACAGTTCTGAGCATGTACTATACAAGAGAGATTACTTAATGAAAGCGAGCTCTCTATTTACATGTACCTCAATTATACATGTATAAAAGAGTCACCATGTTAAAAACAGGTACATATGACTATCGCCTCTACTCCACAAGATGATTTATTGGTGAGAGTGAGCAATATTGAGTGAATCTGTCTGTGATAAGTATTTGGCAAATTTACAATTATGTCACGTGTGTCATCGAACATGCATAAATGGCTAATTTTATATACATTGGCCACCAATCACTATTATTAAATACACAGTATACTAAAAATTTATTTTATGTATACCTGAATTTTGAGTGAATGGCTAATGATGACTTGATTTTAACGAAAACTCCATCTTCTCCTCATCCTCTCACTTATTTTCCATCTTCGTCATCATTGGCTCTCTCTTCACATGATAATTATTGACCACAGTAGTCTCTGGGAAAGAAATCTCCTACAAATAAAGATATACCTAATCATTGTGATGCAAAATAGATTTAACTTATAAATCTACATTGGTACATTATTGATGTGCTGGGTACTATAGAGGCTGAATTATTATAGTATCTATTAATTTCAAATTTCTCACTTCACATGATTTACATTATGAAATAAGAATCATAGTAGCATTTGAAAGGGCTCTGAAATCAGCCCCAATTTGTATTATTATTTCTGATACCCTAGTAGCTTATACTATCTAGAAAGCTCAAGCTAATTCTGACTAAATTTTTGTATGAGCAATTTTATAACTTCTGAAAAAATTGGCTCCAAATTTTCATTAATTTTCTGACACATTATTGATTATTGATGCCCCAACTTAGTTATGTTTAAAAAGTATGAGCTGATTCTGTACATGTAAACGTATTTATACCCACCTCTTCCAGTAGTTGGGATGGATTCTAATTTTCCATTGTACAGAAATCAATCCCTTCGATCCTCTGTCCTATTAATAATATTATGATTAAAAAATACGGGTATATACTTGGGTAGTCATTAAGAGCACTGGTTATTAATAGTACTGGCAGAAATACTGGTATTAACCTAAGGAGAAGGAGATAATCATGACTAAAACTCATCCAATACCAAAGTTGGTCAGCATGGGTCTCCATCTTTCATCTCCCTCTCTCTCCTCTGTATATCTTCACTAATGAATCCAATGCTTTACTTGTCACACCATCCACTTTTCATTAACACTAGAAAAACCAATCATTAATGAATGAGTGTGTTACTATGCATATGGTTAAGGTTACTTCGATACAGTCCTTTTATTTCTTCTATGAATAATGAAGCTTGTTAAATCAGCGATTCTTCAAAAACTTTTTGTAGACTAAAACATAACCAAAATTAAAAAGAATAGTCACAAAACAATTCAATCCTTACCAATTAACATTAAAAATTGAATTACTACAAAATTCAGGCAATAGCTTACAAAGCAGTTTAACACGTGGTTATAATATACTATAATTTCCAATGGGAAAGTTCTGCAGTTCCGTATTTTTAAGATTAGATCTAGATCTAATTGCGGGGGTGTTAAATGGTGGGAGGGGCTAGGTAATTTTTGTGTTTTTCTGGTTTAGTGGTTTGGCCTCTTCATTTTCATTGTCTTCGAATCCAAGGAAAAGCAGAAATCTAGACAGCACCATTACAGTTTAAGTGAGTTAAATAGTCTATCATTAGAATATTCAACTTCTCTTGACTTAGGCAGCAATGGCAGAAAACACCAGTCCAGAGCCTATCACTATGACTTGTGAGGTTTGTTCAGAGTATTACACTGACCCCCTCATGCTTCCCTGTCTTCACTCATTCTGTAAGAAGTGTCTAATAAAAGCTAAAGAGAAGCAAGGTAGTGCTGATACCTCATTAAAGTGTCCAACGTGTGACACTAGCGTTAATTTACCTGATGGTAAAATTGAAGGCCTCACTCAAAACCTTTGGTTTGAACATAAATCAAGAGAGGCTTCAATCAAAAAGAAGATTTTTAGTAAAGAGGCTATATCGTGTGATGAATGTAGCGTTGATGATTCCAGTGATGCAGCTGTTGTGTATTGCTGTGATTGTGGCCAGTTTCTGTGTGATCTTTGCAAGAAAGTTCATAAGCGAAGCAAGAAAAAAGCAAATCACAAGTTGATTGATCTAGAAACAAAGGAATCCATTGAATTGCCTGCTATTAGTTACGAGGCAGTTTACTGTGCACGGCATCCAGAAAAGTTGACATACTACTGCAATGATTGCAATAAATTAGTTTGTCAGATTTGTCTTAACATTCACCATAAAAGTCACAATTACAATTATTACCTAGATGAGGGTGATACAGCACGTGAAGCATTAAAGAAAAGTGTTGCTTTTTGTGGTGGAGTCATTCCTCCAGTCACTGAAGCTATAGCTAATGGAGAGAAAATGCTAAAGCAGATAGCAACACGTAAAGAAGAAGTAAGGCAGAAAATCAAGGAAACATTTGAAGAGCTTAAAGCTGCTTTGGATAAGAGATGTAATGATTTACTAGTAAAAACAGAAGAGATTGCTAGCGCTAAGAGGAATTCTGTCAGGAAGCAGTTGGACGGGTTTTGTAAACTGGTAAAACAGGTTTCTCATGGTCGTCATCTTGCATCATCAGTGAGTGAGTGTACTGACCCAGGTGAAGTTCTCAGTGTTAAGAAGCTAATCACCAATCAACTAGAGGAATGCATTGAAAAGTATAAGAAACTACCCCTAGAAATAGAAGAAAATGAAGTGATTATAACATGTCTAGATAATACTTTAAGTAAAGAAATCGGTGAGTTTGGAAACGTATTGAAGTTTGAGCAGCTTGGCCCATCACTTTATTCCATTGATAGTGGGTTAGCTATTCCATTGGCATCAGTAAAGAAAGAAAGGAAATTTAAAGTGGCTCTACCAGCAGGCATTGATAAAGCAGCAAGCTATTTGAAGGCTTCCTTTATCAAAAAAGATGGTAGTAAAGAGGAGGGTAGAGTTATAGTTAATGATAGCAACACAGCCATTGTATCAAGCACACCTCAAAGTATTGGTCAATATGAACTATCAGTGACTATAAGAGATCACCATATTAAAGGTAGTCCTTATCAACTGTCAGTAAAGGCATCAAGAGACTATGCCAATGCCACACTAACTAAGCAGAGATACTTTAATGTGGGGAATTTTGGTACTCGTGGTGTTGCTGTTCATACTAATGGTGAAGTATTTGCTAGTAGTAAGGATGGATTTGTTCAGGTATTTAGTGAGGATGGTACTGCAGTAAGAAAGATTGGATCTAAAGGTAAGTGTAAAGGACAGTTTGACAGGCCTTGGGGTGTATTGCTGGTAGGAGACAGGCTCTATGTGTCTGATGATAATCTTCATCGCGTGCAGTATTTCTCAGCTACTACTGGTCAATATATTGGTCAGTTTGGTAGTAAGGGTAATGGAAATGGACAATTCTATTATCCTACTGGTATGTCTACTGATGGCAATGGTAATATATTAGTAGCTGATTACTACAACAACAGGGTACAAGTATTTAAAGAAGATGGTACATTTCTACAAGTTATACAATGTGATGGAAGGGCAACTGATGTAGCAGTTGATAATGAAGGGAAAATACAAGTTACTATTCAAAATCAACATCACATTCAAGTCTTCTCTCCTGATGGTAAAACTCATCTTGATACATACAATAATCCAGCTGGTAACTTTAACGGTCCTAATGGTATTGCTATTGATGATGAAGGGTATATCTTTGTATCGGCTAATGATGGAGGTACCTATTATCTTCATGTATTGAATCCTGACAGGAAACAAGTGAAATTGATCTCAGGATTATCTAATCCATGGGGTGTAGCATTGGATAAGGATGGATATATTTATGTTGCTGAATGTGGAAACAATTGTATAATGAAATATTAAAATAATAATTCAATAAAACTGCAATTAACGAGATACACTACAACTAATCTTACAATTTCTGTACAAAATGTTTTGTCACTCTCTATCTATTTCCCTTCCATCACACACTCACACTTTTTCTCCTTTCTCTCCTCTCTACTTTAAGTGTTATTAATAGATTAAGCTAGTTGTTTCTAAATAATCACATAAATATGCAACTGCTAATGGCTGACATCTTGACACAATATTAACCAGTGTTGCTGGTACTCCTCTCATATCAACCTATTCAATGTACATCATGTTTGACTCCACCCACAACCACACCCACCTGTACAAGATACGTGACTTGTGTGAGTAGTTTTTCTTTATAGCGATAAGGTTCAATGACCCACCCACTCGTCATGACCTAGTAATGTAGGGTCTTTAATCATCA